CCCCCCCCCCCCGGGCATACTACCTCAATGAAGCTGGATTTCCTTGAAAAGTTGTGAAATTGCCTGCTGTTTTTTTTTTTTGTACTACTTCATCTGGCAGAGCAGTGGTATGATAACTTTTAATAGAATTGATGTTATAAGGCATAAGGATTGCATCCAATGGGGATTACCTTGTTCAGAACAACTATAAAAGGTAACTTGGTCTTGTAGAGAATACTGCATGCATACAGCATGTTTGACATGAATGTGACAGGACTTGTGCTCCTGGCTGTGTCAATTATGTACACTACGACTGTTGCAAAGGAAGATGCCAGTGCTTCAGTTATTATGGCTCCTGATGCAGACCATGTGAACACCTCTATCTGACCTGGTGTGTCAAAAATAGCAAACCTGAAATAGAGTAAGCACATTTATAATGTTTGTTGTACATTTGTATACTGTCTACTCTGGCAACAAGTCAGACTGTTGTCCCCTAAACAACAATGCTACAGCAACTTAAATTGGTAAAAAAAGTAAGACCAAGCTACTGTTTTTCTGTATGCATGTGTCAGACTGCCGGTAAATGGCCCATCAGACCAGAGCTAATATCTCCAGTTAAATTCTGTAGCATGAAGTGACTAGTAGTATTTCTTCTCCCTCCTTAGTGGATGGAATGTTAGTACATCAAAAGGTTACCCCCAGCATTAAATTTGCTAGTACACATTTATACACCTGGGTGGAGTGAGAGTATAAAAACACAACACAATGTCCCTGGCCAAGCTCAAACCCAGACCACTCGATTTGAAGTTAAGAACACTAATCATAAGGCCACTGCGCCTCCCACAAGAGTAATGCAGAGAACATACTCTGAATATTAACATACAATGATGTTTAGGTACTAACTTGAAATCAGATGAACGTTTCTTGTCCAAGAAGCTCATGACCTGATCAAATCGTGTTGCAAACAGATTCAGAGATGTTACAATTCCCCCATTCGGACCCAGTTTGTACTGTTTCATGACTTCCTTATAATTGACAGAATCTCTGATGTCAATGTTTACAGGATATGGCACCTCCTTAACAGCTGGATCAAGGTTTACCACATAAGGTGTCTCTTTCCTGGCATACAAGTGTGCTGTGAGTCTCTGAAAAGAGGTCATTTGAAATGAAAGGTTTTACTCATGTTTGAACAAGACATTTTGCATAACATTATCATTAACATGGTTACAAGGTTGCAACATCAACCCGGTGAAAAAGTTTAGTTATTTCAAGATAAAACAAGGTCTGCATACGGGCCAAGTGGCCCATCAGTCTGGCGCTTATTTCTGGTTTCGGTAGCATGATTTCATATCAATCAATAAAGACACACATTTGGGCTGAAATATTGTTTTTTAAAAAGAAAATCACACCCTGGGAGGAAGGGACAGGATGCAAAATTACAACGTCGCTGGTCTAGTGAGGCAGAGCAGGAGGTAAGGAAACCCGAGACTCGAAGGCCTGCTGTAATCGATCGAGTAATAAATAACCTCTTTGATCCTAAATCAAAAACAATACCTTGAAGCGACTAGGAGTATTTCTCCTGCCTCCTGGATGGGATGCTACTCCACTGCAGTATTGTAAACACACTGATCATCACTCAAACTAATGACTAGTTTATTGGCAAAAGGACGAGTGTTTCTCCAGGATTATTTCTCACCGAGACGGGAAAAATCGACTAAGAAAAACTAAGCAATTAACTTAAATGTCTAATCGTTCTCAATTCTGGTGTGATAAGCGTAACTCATTCACAGATTATTTTTAGGATCTGGAGAAGCGTCTGTCTTCAAGGCCCCCGTGCAAGGTGATCAAACGTGTCTTCAGCATGCAGCACGCACGTGCGATAAACTCGGTTTGACAAGAGATTCAAAATGTACCTGTACAAACGTAGTCTTTCCAGATCCAGCCATACCGAGGCACAAAATACAAGTGGGCTTTTCCTTTTGGGATTCTGAGCTAGCAACGTCATCGCCTTTATCATCCGACGTCGATGGACCAGCAAAAGAACTGCTCTCCCCTCCACTTGCTTCCGCCATCTTGGAGTTACGTGACCATCTTACACGACACATATGCTTCTACCAGGGCTTCTACCAATAATCAGATGTGCATCGCGGGCTCGACTCTTTACCAATACCTCTCGATTCTAGATATCTCTCCTTTCGTTCTTCTCGACTCCTTGGGTTGACGCCTTGCAGATTTGGTACTTTTTCATAACTGAACTTCATATTTTCCTATTTGTATGGATCAATACGATTTATGTTGAAGTCATATTTTAAGAAGATATGTGGATTACTCTCCGGCGGTCCGTGGTCCATCGGAAAGCTATCAAATGTTCTGTGCAAGCTGGCCATAGAAGCTGGTCTTATCCCAGATGGTTCTCGGTTTCTTGTGGTGCAAATCAAACAGAGAAGCCGCATGTAGGAATTGTGGGCAGCGGCCCTGCAGGGTTTTACACCGCACAACAAATTTTAAAGGTGTGTATTTAAATTACAGAGAGAAATTGTTCCCTCCTCTCACCCCCTCCCCCACCCCGCAAACGGAGGCTTCAAATGACGAATATATTTCTTTAGTGGAGTGGGGGCAGGGGGAGAGGTCTACGGGTAAGGGTGCATAAACGTTACGGGGGGCTACAGAAGAGAGGGTGGGAAGTGGATTTCCAAATTGGATTTCCTAAGGGTGACAAGAACTGATAGAAATAAGGGAAATTATTATGGAACATTGCCCTATTGTATTTTGCAACAGGAAAGCACCAAAGGGGCTGCAACCACTAAAGAAAGGGTGGAATTGGGAGAAAAAGTTACAAAGGTGTTAAATTTAGATGTCTGCTCCCCATCCCTTTCTCTCTCTGGAGCCGTATATTTCCAAAAGAAGTGAAATCCACGCACATCTTTTATAATGCAAAGAAAGAAAGTGAATCTTGTTCTTTACATTAATTTGCAGTCCCATGATGAAGCTCTTGTTGATGTTTATGAACGTCTTCCAGTTCCATTTGGCTTGGCAAGATTTGGAATTGCCCCTGATCATCCAGAAACTAAAGTAAGACAGCCAAGTGTTAATAGACCTGGAAAAGTTCAAATAATTAATTAAAACTTCAAGCATTGATTTAAATTTACCCTTGGCTTTGGCAACTATTAATAGCACTTCAAAATAATTCAGCAAAATTGCTGCAGTAAAGATATTGTACCAGATGTTATAAAAGTCAAAATTTATTATTCCTGCATTTTGAGTGGTACTTACCTATAATCCATTGGAGGACAAACAGGTAAATTCCATGTTGCCATGTATCTATTTAGAAAGAGATCATGCACGGAAGACATCAAGATGTGGTAACAACATCAGTGACACAATCAACTAAAGGCGTGTGTGCCACTTTTTTGTTCGTATCACATTCTCATATCATCTGTGATCTATTACTGAACAGACACACTGCAAGTACGTAGAATCTGTTTTCACCAGGATAATTAGACCAATCTGGTGGGTGTAAAGAAAAATCTATGTGTTTCATTTAGTTTCACTCCATTTTCCTGGTCTCCCAGATTTAATTTTTTTTTTCACGTTGGCATCTCTAGACTCTGGGATGAAAAGTCAAACTAACAGAACAAGTAAAATATTCAGTCATTCTAACAGTTATTTGAAATCTATTGGGAAAAATGATTTTTTAATTGAGAAATCTGTTTTTTGTTTACTATACTCACTTGATTTTTTTAACTAAACAATCTGATTAGAAATTCGTATTCAACTCTGTGCAAAGCAGCTGATGTACATGCAATCCTTAGTTCTAAGAATCTTTTAATAGAGAGGTTTCTTGTCTTTGTCAAACAGAATTGCATTAACCAGTTCACAACGACAGCACTGTCTGACAGGTGCTCTTTTATTGGAAATGTGAATGTTGGAGAAGATGTGAATGTGGCAGAGTTGTTAAAAGCTTATGATGCTGTTGTCTTGGTAAGCAGAAAAACTGTGTGTTAATAAGTTTGCAGTTCAACTTTTCTTATTGAATGACACCAGCTATAGTGCATCTGAGGGGTATCAGATTGACAGAAGCTCTGTGGCCTAATTGTTAGTGAGTTAGACTTCAGTTTGAACAGTCCAGGCTCATGGTGTCCTGGCCAGGATCACTGTGTTGTGTTCTTGGGCAAGACACTGTCATAGTGCCTCTGACTATTCATTCGCTTTAATTTGAAAAACGATTTTCTAGCTAGTGTGTATAATAATTAATATCTTATTTGTAGTAAATTTGAAATTCATTTAAATTTTTAATTAAATAAGGAAAACAATAGCCAAAGGTTGAACCTTTATTTTAACTCACAGGAAAAATTATTCAGTAATAAAATCAAAATGTGATATAACATGCCTTTTGAATGTAATCTTAAAAATTATTGATTTGGCCAATATTTCTCACACTGCTTGAACCATTCCTTTTCTTTGCAGTGTTATGGGGCAGAAGATGACAAAACCTTTGGAATTCCTGGTGAGGTAACAACTAATCATTCTCTTTGTATATTAATTAAAACTCATAGTGTTGTTGTGTTGGTCAGTCCGTCAGTCCACCTGTCCATCAATCCATCCAACAATCCATCCAACGATCCATCCATCAGTACATATCCAACCAAGTTTCAATACTTTCCTATTTCATCCTCAATTCTGTTGACATGCATAATTTTGATTCTGTTATTTTTTGTATTTGAGGAGATTATCTGCCTTAGGATCAGATAGAACTGGAATTTGCATGATTCATTTTCTTGTTTTTTTTTGCCTTCAGTTTTCTTCCTTGTTGCTAATCCACATGAGTTAATATAATTGATGCTTTTTTCCCCCAATATTTCCTGTACCTTGCAGCTTTCTGTTAAGACATTAAAAAGCAATCCCTTGATTTCCTCAACCTGTTCTAAATACCTTCCCTCCAACTGTTTGTGTCATAATAGCAAATTCATTGCATTGAATTAAGTCTGTTATATGCTCAACTGCAAAGTTTTCAACTTTACTTGAACAGGATTTGCAAGGAGTGTATTCAGCAAGAGCATTTGTGGAGTGGTATAATGGACTTCCTTCTAATTCTCATGTATGCGTAAAAATAGTATAACTTTGTTTATAGATAATTATGTAATTTACTTGTAGTATAAGATTTCTCTACAAGCAAAGGAATGTGAACTACTGTAAGTTAAAACACTCCAGATCATAATGATAGGTAGTATTTCAAGAATCATCTAGTGTATACAGTTGTATGTACAGCCAATCCACTGTCAAATAGCTTTCTTTCTGTCATTGATCATCTTGCAGGGCTGTCATAAAGGGCCGTAACCCATAACACCGGTTACAGCTGAGTATGCTTGATTTTCCCTTGATGCTACTACGGATGAAATTGCCTGTGGTTGATAGAATTCAACCACAAAGTAACAAGTTTGCTATGGGTGTGGAGAACGAGGCTACAGGTGACTCAAAACTTAATGACAGCCCTGTCTTGTATTCAGATATCAAGGAATTTAAATGTTTGATCCTAATTTGATGGAGAAAAGGCGAAGTTTAAAGTACCAAAATACACAAACATTGTGACTCAAATCAAGATGAATTCTTGGAATGAACATTTCATTTTTTTTTTTTTTCATGCTCTTGATTAAATAGTGATGCGACTTCTTATGACCAGTTTAGCTCAAAAACTAAGAAGAACATTATTAAATAATGGGTGTGGTAGTAGAGGGAAAGGCTTTCAGGGAAGTAAAATAGATATTGGTTGCAAAGGAGGGGGCTGAGAAAGGAAATTGGAGGGAACAATGCCATCTCAAATGTCCTGTGTAAAATTGCCTTTCAGCTAGAGCCAGACTTGAGTACAGAGGCTGCTGTCATACTGGGACAAGGAAATGTAGCTCTTGATGTTGCAAGGATTCTGCTCAGCCCGATAGAACTATTGGAGGTGATTTTTATCAATATTTCTACATTTAATCTGAGTGTATTATTTCTACTTACAGCATGTGTGTGTAATAAATTTGTTTTTTCATTCATTGTTAGTCAGCTTAATATTACTGTACAAAAGTCATATATGCTGAAGTGGATATAGGTAGAGACACTATAACTGCCAGATTTTTGAACTGAAAAGACAGTTCAAATAGTATGATTAACTTAGTGAGGGTAGTTCTGAAAATAACTGCTGTTGATGACTGATGTTTCGACATTGAGCAGAAGTCATCTTGAGAGTCAAGTGACTTCTGCTCAGGTTGCAAAACAACAGCCGAGTTCTTTTCAGACTTACCCTCACCCAGACGATCACACCATACAAACTACTGACACATACATATACTTCTGGCTTCAAACCATTTGCTACGAAAAGAGAGTGTCAGGCTATTGTAACACTAATAAAGTCTGAGTTGAGCGTTATGCCTCCTCATGATGGCACATATCTCCAGTTTCCATTCCATTAAGTTACTAGAAGGAGTATTTCTACCCTCCCTAAATGGGAGGCTAGTTCATCACAGGGTTACCTCCTCCCAGCAGTAAATTTACTGGTATCCATTAAAAGATACACCTCGGCAAAGAAAGCCACTATGAAAAGTTTCTTGCCTAAGAACACAACATTAACCTTTCAAAAATGAGGGTTGTTAGCAGTTAGAAAATTGGCCTGAGAAGAACTTAAATGGTAATTGAATGTCTATGCCTACAAAACTAGGCATGATTTCTGTCACTCTCTAAAGTTATGCCGTCCTGATTTTGTACTTTTTACGTTGGTGTGCATGTAGCTAAGCTTTGGCAATCAAGTTTGTCAAGGCCAAAAGTGTATCTGGACAATCAAACCAGTTGTGGGGTTTGGTTGCATATCTGGACCTTAGTCTTTATGTCAGCTTGTTTAATTTTTTTTCTAATCTAAAGTTAAGCATACCTGATCTACAAGATTTTGCCAGCTGTGTTTTGACTGTATTTGTAGAAAACAGACATCTGTGAGCATGCTTTGGAAGCACTTAGGAAAAGCTGTGTCCAGACAGTTTATATTGTTGGCAGACGAGGACCATTACAGGTGAAAACATTACAGTTCAAACTTGAAGTATTAATAAAACTACTTGCCTGATTGCTCCCTGAATAATGTACTCCATCCACTTGGTGTAATTACTAATTAAATAGTATTACTCAGTTTGTTTTCCAAATTATTATAAAGGAATGAATTTTGTGGCGAGATATTAATTTGTGATTTTTGCCAGTTGCTCTCTTGAATAAAAGGATTGACTTGGAAAGAAATGACGCCAATTGTAAATGTACTAGAATGGGCAGAATTCAGAAGATGTGTCACCCAAAATAAAAAATTATTTAATGATCCCAACAAGAGTCAAGCCTTAACCCACTGATCCTGGGGGGCACTCCCATATAAAAGGACTGTGGTGCTCGTCGGAAATTTTGGAAAGAGCCCCCAAGGGGTACCAAGATCCTGTATTGTGGGCATGGTGTGGAATTTTTCTCAACTCTAAGAGGGTAAGGTACTACAGGTAGCATAAGTAAATATGTTGTTTAAGAATTATTCTTAAACAACATATTAACTGACTCTACCTTTAGTTATTTCAGCTCAATACGCTAAAAGGTACTGTGAAAGCTCCTGCTGTAGACCTTTTGAGCCTGAACACACTAAGAGGTACCAAACCGTATCTTTTTAACCCCCAAAAGGAATCCCGTCCCCTGAGCCACCATCCCTCACAGGTTGGACTCCTGGTTTGGAGAACCCAGTTGATTTCACTTTTGAAGGAAGTTATATCATGGACTGATTATCATCTTGCTTACAAAGGGATCAGTTGATCTTCCTTTGCATTCTGAAGCTGTCTTAATTAACAAATTATGTATAATTATTGAGTATTGTCCTCTCTTTAAAGGTGTCATTTACTATTAAGGAGTTAAGGGAAATGACCAAGTTAGAGGGCTGTAAAGCTGTGTTTGACCCTGACGACTTCAGAACAACACAAGAAAAGCTTCCTAGTAGGTTTATACATCTTTTTAGACTACTGTTCAGGCTGTCATTTAGGACTGTAAGCTATGAAACTCACGGCTGAGTGTACGTGAAGGGCTCTTGAAGTGACAATAGAACATTTCTGTTGATATAATTCACCAACAAAGACCCAAGTTTGTTATAAGTGAGAAGATCAAGGCAACAGGTTCATGACTTGAGACTTAATAACAGCTCTGCTGGCTAAGAAACATTTATTTTATTACATTCTATATGTGTCAGTTCCTGTCTGCTCATAATGGTGGCTACAAATGGCAGCCAGCCCCCTAGCCTTTACCAGGCAATTGACATGTCAAAATTTACCAAAAAGTTTCTTTGCAGGCTGACATATGACATATGACATATGACACATATTTTCAAGGGATTTGAAGTCAACACTTGTAGTGCTTATTCAGTATTGCCTAGAACTATCTGTTATCCATTTTCCTGGCAATCCATGTAAGTTGTATTTTACTTTTTTGTATTAATTAAAGATATTCCAAGACCAAGGAAAAGACTTACTGAACTGATGTGCAAGACGGCATTGTAAGTTTAAGAACTGCTTTACTGGGAGGCAAACCAGGGGTGCTGAACATTGCAATACTGCCAAAATTTTTGCAAAGATGGGGACATCAAGGGGAGGGCACGGTGAACACCATTATACCGTAAAAATTCAGCAAATGTTGAAATAAGGCAGAGAAACACTTGGTATATAGGTTGTCTGCATGCTTAGCTGCTGGCTGCATTGTTGTGAGGGTAAAGGATTAGGTGAAATATAAGGGTGGCAATTTATAGTTAAACTAGTAAGAACAGTCTGATACTGCAATATTGCAAACTCCAGTGTCTCTAGCCTGCGTCACAGACAGTCTTAACACCAGCATTTTGTGACATGTCCAGCTGCACCACAGCCTACAATACCCCCATCCTTCCCTTCTTATGATTCTCTCTGTTACATAATCACCTGTTGGCTTGACAGTAGAGAATTACTGAACTATGAAGCTGAAGAAACTAACAGTAAAGAATATTTACATGTGGAGACAAGAGTTGGTAATAAGAACTGACTGTGCTATTGATACTGAATCGCCTCATCACCTGCGGAAGGTGGTACATGTAACATTGTCACGTATAAGAAGTTTTGAAACAGTGGACACAAACCTTTTTTTGCTAACTGTATAACTGATTGTTATAAAATAACTGTTTTAAAGATCTTTTTTGTATAAATATTCTGATCTAGATATTCTTTACGTTTTATTTTACAAGAGATGAGAGCACTTCACTGAATGCTGCAATTAGAAAATGGAGTCTAAAATTTCAAAGGAGTCCTGTAGAGTTTCTTCCCATGCCAGGTGGAGAAAAACTATCTGGAGTCAGATTAGAAATCAATAATTTAGTAGAGGTATGTATATTTAAATATATCTTTTGTTGATTTAATGAAACAAAATGAAACATATTGTACCAGGTTTTTACAATTACTTTGTGCCAGAAGCATATCACCTATTATAGGTGATATGCTTCTGTTTGTACTTAATATATTGATCCTACTTCTGGTGTGTATAACAATTACTCTGGATCATAAGTGCGAACTCGTTGGAAGAGAGATTGTTACTTTCTATGTGACATATTTTCTGTCACACTACATTGTAATTTCAGCTTTATCATGAGCAATTTGTTTGACTGTTTGTTGTAGGGCTGGTTTTCACTAACACGTGAGCAGGAGGATAAACTTAAGAAACATAATTATCCAGAAGTAGTAAAATGTTGATAATTAGCGTCTTTTGGTAGGATAATTAAATCCCAACAAAAAACGCTAATTAACAAGACTTCTTCAATCTGCTACGTATGTTGCTGACGTCCTTTGGGGTCTAATGAGCACGTAATGAGAACAGAGATGGGGCAGCAACCCACCCTACTCTTTGCGATAAGTGAGTGGGTTCTTTAACGTCCCCTGTTAACCATGTAAGACTGCACATGCAGGAGACGGGGCTTACGGGGTGTAGTCCGTATCTGAGAAGACTTGAACGTCCAACCATTTGCAGATGTAATTACAAAGGTAGCACATTCTCCTCAGTTATTTTAAGGCCTGAGGGCTCAACCCCTTGACCTCCCGCACAGCAGTCTGGCGTTCTACCAACTGAGCTAACCGGGCGGTAGTTGATCATTTTCATGCAGACCCAGCGGTCTCATAGGCTCATCGCCCATTGAAACTAAAGAGAATTTTGTGGACTTACTTTGCCACTGCCTCAGAGTTGTCACAACTGTGCAAATTGCTCTTATTCATGGGGTGTTATTGTGTTTTCTCGTCGCAACAGAGTAATGGGTCAGTCCAAGCTCATGGCACTGGTGTATATGAGGGTGTACCTTGCGGTCTGGTGAGTGTTCTATACCTGCAGTTGAGTCGTATTCTCAAAATATGGATTTGTCACATACGCGTCTTGTCTCGTTAGTTCTTAGGATTTGATGGCTGGTCTAGACAATTTCATCAGTTGTTGATTTTCAGACTCAGTCTAGTGAAAAATAACCCATGTATTAAGTGTTTGAGTCCGCATATGAGCCAAGTGCCCATCAGGCCGGCGTTTATCTCCGGTTTCATGAGCATGAAACGTTTAGGAGTATTTCTTCTCTCCTTGGATGAGGTGCTAGTCCATTGCAGGGTTACCCCCAGGACTGAATTCGCAGTTACCCATTTATATGCCTGGGTGGAGAGAGGCACTGTGAGAGTAACTCTAGCCCAAGAACACAACAAAATGTCCCCAGCCAGGGCTCGAACCCGCACCAGTCGATCCTGAGACGAGCTCACTAAACATGCGACCACCGCGCCTCCACATATATTTAGTGTTGCCGACATAGTCTTTTAGAAAATGTTTCTTGGCTTTTGATAATTTAGTATGCAATGCAACATTGCTCCCTGGGAGAAACGATTCTGTGACAGATCAAAAGAACGTCTGTGTTAGTAGGTCAGATATTACAAGTAAAAGTACATCAATCGTTCTTAGACGATTCAAAGCTCAATTACGTGTGCCAGTGCGTTTTTTGAGCAGGTCTGCAGTCAATAATTACTTCCATGATGTGAATTCTCACAGGTGTTTCGTAGCATTGGATACAAGAGCATTCCAATGAGTCACGCTCCCTTTGATATGAAAAGAGGTGTTATCCCGAACGAAAATGGAAGAGTAAATGACTCAGGTAAGAAACGTCGACATCTGGCGGATGACAGTGATATACATTTAGACTCCACTCAACATTACTGTTTGCTAGAGTTAACAATTAGACTATGAGCTTACGATTTCTATGAACGCGTAATATCACGCGATAGAAATCGAGAGCGAATAATCTAATTATTTTATGATAAATCTTTTAGTCGTCCAAAGCTTTATCTAAATCCCGTTCACAGACACTTCTATAACGCAAGGAAGCGGCCGTCATATTGTTAACAAGTGCACACCAGCGCGCTACTCACTCTCTACAACAGAATAGATAGTGAGTAGCGTAGCCAATCAGAGAATGGCATTCATGATAGAACGCTTCGTAGATTTATTCTAAAAGTAGACAGAAAACTACTCCTCCGTCATCTCCTCTTTGTCCTGTCTTCTCCTGGAGGACGGGAGATCGGACTCGAGCGAGAGAGCGGTGGAAATCGAACCTAGCACACAGATCAGTACTGCACTTCAAATAGAAATAGCCAATGAATAAGTCTGCAAATTACAGATCAGAGAAGAGGTCACATGTAAATGTCGTTTCTTGGTAGCCAATTTTCATCTGTCGTCGATTACTCCCACTTTTGTAAATGTCCTGGGCTTTAAGCAACCTTGATCCCAGGCTAGCTCTCTCTCCTTTGCCTCCTTTGTGTCTCTCTTCAATGACAAGGGTAGCAAAGGAGGTGATCGAGCTTGTAATTGGGCTGTAAGCTCAGCTGGCATCGTTTAACGTTTATTTATGAACGGTCAGATTTTTCATAAAGCTAACTCAAGCTGGCTTTGTTTGTTCCCCGCAGGTCTGTACTGCAGTGGCTGGGTGAAAAATGGTCCAGTAGGAGTTATAGCCACAACAATGAACGATGCTTTCCATACTGGACAACTCGTTGTACAAGATTTAAAATCTGGTGAGGGGCCTTCATGATCAATACAAATCGCTTAGTTTCCGTTACTTTTCGATAAGTTCAGCGACCAGTTTTAAGCCGCGCAGGAAAAGCTTGGAGGATTATTGTGCGGGAAAATGCACTGATTGAAAATAAAATTCTCCTACCAAACGTTATAGGGAATATATGAACAAGCGTAAGGCGAATATCGATTTTGACCTCGGGAGCTCGTACGTCTGCGATGGTGAAATTAGAAGGAGTGTATTAATTTTTGTGTGCTAAAATAAAGTAAATAAATAAATCACAATGTTTAGAGAGGAAACCACATCAGCCCTAGCTGGTTTTCATGCGGGTTCTTTATCCCGGTCGAATTGGAATTTGAAGCGTTGGTTTTTGTGCAAGGAGGAAAACCGGAGAACCCGGAGAAAAACCCTCGGAGAAAGGCGAGAACCAAGAACAAACTCAACCCACACATGGCACCGGGCCGGAATTGAACCCGAGCCACACTGGTGGGAGGCGAGCACTCTCACCACTGCGCCATCCTTGTTTACTTTTATTCGTTATCTAGGTGGACATTTTTTCTTTTGAATTTTAGTTGTTATTCGTTTTCGTAGTGACATTGACTGAAGGAAAGTAGTTGACGATGCAAAGTTTTCACTGAGGCTGGAAAATCTTGCTCTTTCTCCTGGCCTAGTTTCCAGTAATATTATTTCCCTCCTTATGAAGGTGAAATAAAGATAAAGAGTCAGACCAAAGGATTTGAGGTTATAAGAAGCTTATTACACTCAAGAGGTAGGTCTGGCTAGAAGTTACTAGTGATAACTGTATTTCAGGATTTTATATCGTGTTTTCCGACTTCAACAATTTTGAAAAACTGAACTTGTAAACGGAACGAAGACATACATCTTACGTGGGTCTTAGCAGACGAATTTGAGAGCTCGTATCAGACCCACGCGTGGGTGAAAATGCCGCCTACATCCATCAGTATATAACAGTTATTGACCTCGGTTATCGCAAAATATCGTGATTTGTCAGTGGCGAGCACATCAAATAATTGATCTGCGAGACACTGAAAAATCACCATATTTTGAGACAACCGAGGTCAATTAAATCGTTGTTAAAATCATTCGATTACCAAGTTTGTTTTCATATTTAAATCACTTTCTGAAAGCTCAGGGGGCGATCTGCCTTTTTTTCACCCGAGAACGTGGTTCAATTACGCATGAGCAGAATATTATTTGAAACAAAACACATTTAGAGGGCACTACGCATTAGCAGAACATTATTTTTAGGCAATTATTTGCAAGTCACGTGGTGGGCTCTCGGCCAATGAAAAGGAAGGAAAAATGCATGGAATGCTAACAATGTATTTCTGAATACTTCGAAGTTTTTTGTAACTCTTCACTTTTTTCTCTACCTTTTAACAGGAGTCAAACCTGTTTTCTTTGATCAGTGGCGCAAAATCGACCAAGTTGAACAAGAAAGAGGAAGGCAACTCGGAAAACCACGAGAAAAGATTATCAGTGTGCAAGAAATGTTGGACATTGCTTATAAACATGAAGGAAGCTAGTAATTCTAGAGATCTTCGTTGCACACAAAATATGTGCCATGTCAGTGCTACCGGCCCTCCAATGTAGATGTCACAATCCAGCCTAAAGGGACAACATGGAACAATCAAACATTTCATATTTCCACTGTAATAAAGAATAGTAATATTTTATTACAACAAACAGTTTAAACTTAATTTGCTGTCTGACTGTTTTGCGTGTGAGGCTCTCGGTGACGTAATGTTGGTGCATTGGAAAAACCATGCCTGTGTGCTTGTGTTTTGTGTTATGTGCTTGGGAATCTTCACGTTCATAACACAGTAGTTCTCTCCGCCCGTTTGTATAAATGCGTTCTTCTCAGGTTTCTTAACGACTAGACTCTGAAAGACAGCCAGTCCCGTGTGTAGACCCTAATGACAAAAGCAGTTGCAGATTGGCAACACGTCAAAATGTCGATAACTGCTCCAAACTAGCATAATGAAATCATTATTTGGCTGTCATCAAAAATGATTTGGGCGCAAACTGTTTCACTTTTGGTACGAGCTGTTTTTCCAAGAACTGCTTGTCCCCCAACGTGTTTGCCTTCTGAAAGATCGCATGGCTAGTTTGCACTGACCTGCATTATAAATGAAAAACCATCATGGCAGCTATTGTGAATAAGGTCTCTTTTTGTCTCCTTTCGAGAGGGACGCGTACGTGAGACTGAAACCCGAAAAATTCCATTTACACAACACAGACGATGATTGGTTGTTTCTGGTATGTGAAGTTTCGCGCGCAAGTTATCAACCAATGGGAGACTCGGAGAGAATACAAGAATTTCTGTAGAGATGCGTTATCGTAGTAGAACTTTTTGGCTGGAATCCAAAAAAAAACTTATTTTCGTGTAGCATGGGTTGAGCGGGCTAAGCGAGGAGAATGCTTACTGAAGCTGTAGCAAACGTCAAGCAATTCTGGAATTACCCTCTTCCTAATTTGCAATCTGATTCCGAAAACATTTCTTTGATTATTCTCTGAAGTATAAATTGTAGTGGACTAGGTCTTCTAATCTCAAGTAATAACAATTTAAAACTGAAAGAAATTTAGACTAAACTCGTGAAAACGACTGAGTGGTATGCATATCGAGTTCCTGATTGATTGATTCTACAATGGCTGATTTCATTTCTTTGAAATTTCTAATTGCATTGTTTGTTATACGGGCGCCGAGATGTCTTTAGCTAAATGAATATATTTTTCTCTTTGTTTCTTTACACACAATATTCTTATTCTCATTTACAGTCGGCGCTTCCGTTTTCCTGTTGAGAAAACAGCGATTTAAAATCTTGTCTCAAATCACTTTTTTTTCTCTTTGCCGATACATTTTCACTAATGTGACTAAAATATATGATTTATTTATTTTGCATGCCAGTCACTCTTTCCAAGCCGTTTGTATTTACAATAGCAATTTAGAACACGTTAAATTACAAACTGTCAAATTATGTTTAGTTTACAATGTTCTATGTGTGTTGTGAGCATAACACACACACCCTAAAATGGACTTCAGCTCCATTTCGCTTCCGTGGTCGTGGGTAATATCAATTAAATATTCCTTCAATTAGATCTTTCGCAGAGGCGTATGTTTTTAACAGGGGAATACATCGAGACTGATCTCCTTCATGTGCAAATTCCAGTTTTTGGTGCAATTTGCCACCTGAAAAAGTGAGTGATTTTGTATATGTACATATTTTTTGTTGCTGTATTGAATTGATGCGAGAGAGCCACAAACTGCTTATTAAATGAATTGTTTTCGTTTCGCTGATGAAACATCCAGACCAGTGCTCGTTATGAGGCCGTCCAGATAAAATATAAAGAGTCTGACTGATTTGAAGCCAGATAAAAGTGAGTAGGGGTCGTTTAAGGGACACGACCAATTAACGCGTTGGCTCTGATGCGAAAATGATTTTCAACGATTCAAAAAAAAACAGCTGGAGTAGCGCGGCTCAGGCGTTGGTCGGTTGCCGGGCGAATCCGTAAATTTCAGCTGGGCTGTTAAATATTGTGTCTCGTTCAAGCTAGGTGAATTTCTGGTCAGGATTGAGAGCCCAATTCAAGCCTTGTGACAGCTGAAAATTGTTTCGAAGGGGTAGCTTTTTGTTTCTATTTTATTGTCAATGGAATGCTAGCGATAAAACGCGTAAAGCTATAACCTTTGTTGAACGTATTTGAGGAAGACGTAACCCTAAGTTTTTACGTTCACAGGCCGCGTTACAGCGTATTAAATACATTGCCGTGGTAAAAACGGAACCAGCGTCTCTAACAGCAGCTAGTATGGTCGAATAAGACAGCAGAGCCACTGGATTAAGGTATCTTTACTATTTGTTCTCTTTTGTTATTTTCAAAGCGCTATGTTTTGAAAATAATACATATGCCGACTGCGATAAGGCAAAATTATATATACATTATGTCACAATTTGATCGACCCAGTCAATGTTTTCCTGCAAAATCCAAGTCTTTGCGTGTTTCAAGTTTCAAAAAAAAAAAAAATTCAGCCAAAAACCTAGATACGATAAAATATGGTGAATTATTTATGGCTATTTACAATTTAATTTTACATATCTCCTATCTGGAGCCTAATTATCGACAATGAAATTCGTTTAAAATAGCAAAAAAAGAATGACATTTTACAATCGATCGGTAATCTTGGCTAGTAAGCCCAACCACGAGAAGTAAACATTGTCAAAACGAAATGTCAAAATGTTGCAATCTAATGCTCGCACGACACCAAAGTTGACAAATTTGAAGCGAAATCCATCAGCTGATATTTATGTGCTTTATTTCCGCCGCGGCTTTATCCTCTGTCATCAAAACCCGAAGTACACTTTCCTCGTTCATTGGGCGTTAATTTTAGAGGCTTTTCTAATTTTCGTTAATATCAAGGATGTTTCAGCCCTCGGGGTCAATTTCGTCATTAGACGACATTAATACGCTAATTACATTGGGGTGATACACTTGTGGATGTACTGACCCGCTGACTTCTTTTCCGCAATGACCTCTTTCTTAGTCCCTCCTGGCGAATTTTAAAATTACCTCTCAACAATTCAATAGTTTTGTCGAGCTTTCGGTCTCCTATTTTGAAACGTTTGACCGTTTTCGCGCGAAACTAAATACAAGCAAAACGAATCGAACACAAAAGAAATTCGTTCAATTAAGTTTTTTTTCTTTTGCCCTGAAGCATTACTTTCAAAAACAAATGTTTCAATTTGATTGATAATTTTAAGACATTTCAGCGAGTGTAATGCATGGTTAATTTTATACTTGATATTTGATTTTGATATTTTTGCGTTCTTAAGTAAAATGTGCTTTCGATGGGTTTTGTTTGGACTGTGGTCGCAAACGCTATCTCAAGTACAAATCCCACACACATCAGTGCTTTCATTTCAATATTTTAAGCCTAGCTTGAGTATATCGCTTGAAAAAGAATCAAATCAATAACGCATTCATTTAGGTAAACTAGCTAGCGCTGTCTCCGGATCCATCTCGACTCATCTAACAATTTTCTGCTCTAAGTTGATTTGTAACTTGATATTGAAGTTAAAAGTCGAGATGATTAGAAGCCTCATTTTCTCCTGTTGAAAGCTTAAACAAGTTAAAATCAGACTAGCCATAATCGGATTTCACCTAATTTCGTGAAGGTGTAATCCGAAGCTGTAATTTGACTGCATCCGAAATTTTTTCCACAACCGACAAATTTGGCGTGGAATTCAACAAACTCGTCCTTCCGCCTGCCCAATTCTTAATCTTCTCCAGTGATGGCGAACGTACGAGCCGTCTGATGTTTGATCCGAAATATTCCATACCGTATATCGATTACGCAGCAGAGATCACATTCCGGGATCCTTTTTGCTGACCAAAACAATCGCGACCTCTGGTCACGCAAATGATTTTCACGGTGTTTCCGATTGGTTATTACTTGCGCGCGAAAATTCAAGACCGAGAAGAACCAATCAGATACGCTACAAGAATCCCTGTGGAGCTACGTCACCAGTTTAAAGTTTTCGGGTCGAGTCTCCCGCGCGCCTTTCGGACGGGAAATAAATTGTGTGCTAAGAGTTTTGATTTAAGCTACGTCGTACAAAATATATACGTCAACATTGTTTAAAAGACTGCATAGTAGCTTAAGTAGCAGGCTAACTGCATACGGGAAACTAAGACCAAATTCAAATGAAACAAAAAATAGGCAAACTGATAGAGTCTGGACACCACGTTAGTAACCATGGCAATTGACAGGAGACAAAAGAGTCGCCATTACATGTGTGTCTCAAGAGAGTTAGTCTGATCTTAGTTTCCGTAAGGGCTTAAGCCTTTCTCGGGAAATCTGCAGAGCGTTTAGTAGAAATATTAAGTTGCGCCAATTTTATTTTTGTGGTCACATTTGCCAAATTTGTGGTATTAAAACGTTGATCGCAATAAGACAGGAAAATTATCTTTTTTAGCCATGTCAAAAACGCACAATCGAAAAGAATAAATTCACGCGCAGCTTTGGAAAACAGTGAAACTGAATTGTAAAACTCTCGAGTTTTAAGATTCAGAGAAAATAAACTGAAATCGGACCAAAAGCTTTAATTTTTCGTTTATCCAATTTCCTGGAAAACAATTTGAAGTGATTCTTAACCCGCGGATTTGCCAAAGCTCGCCTTGACTGTCCACATTGTCGTCATGGTATATGCGGCTTCATTCATTTCTCATGACTAAGCGTGGTGTGGTCAGTTGTAAGTTTGGAATTTTAATTAAAATTGTTAATTGAAATGGTGGCGGATGTAGATAATATAGAAGACAAAGAACCAAGAAAATAGTACTATAAGCAACCTGATAAAGAAAGAGTGAACTAATTTTTCGATATTTGCGCTCTAATCAAGTAAGGTATGAAATTTCTGGGTGGCTTACAAAATATATGTATGTTATTGAAGAAGCTGTTCATTTCTTGGAAAATATCTTTTAATGAATGTATTGACCCCTTCAGGAGAAGACTGATTTTTAATTTAAAAAAAGGAAAACTTTTCTATTCATTGAAATTTGGGAGCCGTTTTGTTTCGTCGTTCAATGTACGTGTGTGCTAAAGATAATCAAAGCTGATAAAAATAGCTTTTTCGTAGGTAATATACATTTCAAATTAAAATGAAACCCAATACAAGATTTATTCGTCTAGAGTTGTATTTGTATTCTAAGAGAGTGCTCACATTGGGTTCGATTAGGTCGTCATTGGATTACACACGCAATCATTCTCGCTAAAACTAAATTATCTTCGCTTCGACCATGCAGGATCGACATTTGGCAAGTTTGTGACAAAAAGCTTCAGGAAATGTGATATTTAGTTTTTCCATTCCTGGTCTATACGCAAGTAAGTGAGTGAAATTGCATTTTAATTTTAATTCATCAGAATTTTATATTCTTTCTTTTTCTCGGCTAACCTTGCTGCCATGACATTGCCCGTAATTTACGTTTGAGTACACATGAAACCCTTTTATGCAATGTCAACTGTAATCTTATTTCGTGCGGGTGGGCTTTGGTAGTTTTTAAACGCAGGGAGATTTTGAGCTTTGCTCAATTAAATATATCGCTTTCTCGGTCAATAAAAGAACGTGATTCAGAGAAAAATAGCTTGACTGTGCTTTCAGCCATAGATGGCAATGCACCAATATATATGTCCAGTCGTTTTAAAACTGAACTTACAGGTTTTCATTTAAATTGAAAGAAGCGCGTATAGATCAAGGTTTGAAGAAGGCGCGGCGAGTCAGGAGAACTCGAAACAGTGTCAATGACGAACCGTGAACGCCCTCTGTTCACATAAGCTGGCAAAATGGATTTCATTCTCTTTCCCACTCTAAACGTAAAGTACACACACTTTAGCCCATGGCACGCATTAAGCTGTATACACAACATGAATAGGTGAAGCGACTGGCGCTGGCCATGAACACGTCATCAATGTCAATCTCGATCCCAGACCACTTGCAGTTCAACGTCAGTGTTTGAGTTGAGCTGCTCATCTGTTTCTCGCCTGCTTTCTTGATGGCGGGAACTTCGACCATCAGCAATTTCTTCATGAAGGATTGAAGCTTTTTCAACAGTTTTGCCAGTTTTTATTGTCATTCTCTCCTCTTTGTTAATAACAGGTAAGGGTTTGTACTTATAGACAAAAAGGTAAATTCAGAGTACTCAATCGGATGTTCCATTTTCTGCACGTAGCAGTAAAACAGAATATCATGTTACGTTAGTTTTCTATTTGGGAAGAAAGACGTACGTCTTTTCTAATATCTGTCAGATTCAGGTGCAAGGAGTTCTACTTTTGTTGTTTGGTCGTCGATCGAGAAGAGAACGACGCTGTCGTTGCTCAGTGTTGCACGTGCGTTATTCATTCTGCATGGCAGATTACCACAACAAGACCACAACATGAAATCACCAGATGCTGTGTTTGTAAAGAACGCAAACTAAAGAGTACAGTTTGGTATTTCGATCTCAAAAATTAAAAGCGATCTGTTCATTTTCGGCCAGGGTCGAGGACAATTCTTTCAGCTGTTATAGCGGAAGACCAAAGTGATCTTACTAATTAAGAGATTGAGGAAGTAACTGACATTCGCTTGAAGAACGGCGACAGGCAAGACAAGACAAGAATTTTGTGACATTTTACCAGCTGGTCCCCCCTGGCCTAAGTCAGGTTATTAATAGAAGCGTTTTCCTACAGAGTTGCCGTCATGCATTTGCAGAATTTATATCTAATTAAGGACTAATAATCCTGACTGGTGTCGCGTAATTTTCCGGATTTCAACGTACCTTTACCCACGTTTTCGCGCGGAAATAAAACTAAAGAAATTGCTCAAAATTTGCCGATTGAATGCAAAAATGGTCGGCCCGGTGACAGCATGCAAGCAACGAGCTGTCCATAGCGACAAAAAGAGTTGAAAGAACCGACAAATGTATGTCAGGTTGACATCAGTGTTTTATTTGTAACAGTGACATAGGCTTTGCCAGTTGTGAGCACGTGTCAATCTACAACTGTACAACATAAACAGGAACCGGCTATTGTTGGAAGTCTTAAACACTTCCTCAAATAATAAAAGAAAAATGGCTGAAAATTTGGATAGGCATGGTCAAAAGAGAGGTTGCCAAGCAAGCTGAGTAAGAGGATTCAGCCAGGATTTTTAAAGGGGGAGGGCGCAGGGGGAGGGGGGGGGGGTGACTGGTACCTTGGCATTGCAGAATCAATGGGGCATGTCCCACAAATGTCGCAACTTGAGAATTGAGACCGTATTATAAAACTGTTATATCAGAAATACAAGCAAGTAGAAATTACAATCAGGTAGACGTCCAGAGTGTTTGCCTTTATTTCCGCCATAACATTCACAATCTTTTAATTTTTTATAGTTTTTGCTTCTTCAAAATGGGGGTGGCTAGCCACCCAATTCATTCCCCCCTCCCCTCAAAATCTGTCCCAGGGATTTAACGTGATAAGATTAGAACGAAGGCACCTTCTCGACCGCTGGTCAAATGAACGTAGACCGCCATGCGATTATTAGACGTCCACATTTCGTGTATATCGCAGAACAAAGAGGCAGAAATGTTTACAACTCGTTTTTGAAACAAACTCTATTGCTTTCCAGCTCTTACTTTTGAATGGATCGACATCTCTTTATCCGGCTTCCGTGACGTCACCTCACGTGACTTCTCTCACCGAGCATGTAGTCGGTAACACTTTGAGGATTAAGTAAGATTTATTTTAGTTTGTTTTGTGCATCATGGTTAACGTGGAACAGATTATTTACTCAACGTTTCATGCATTTTTTACATTATTAACATAACAGTTTATTTCGATGAACAGCTATATGCGATGCATTAATTTACTTCCATTCCACGGGACAGGGAAAAAAGCCGGTTGAAGGTAATCGATTTTACTTGCCAGTGATTTCCAAAGTTAACAGCTCTCCAACCTTGGATTGTAGTGATTATTTGGGGCTGTTTTATAATTCCGTTTTGTAATCGTAAAGCTTACGTTTGATGTTTTAATCATCCTAAGTGATTCAATGGTTTTAGCAATGCAAGCTTGCTGGTACAAAAACGTTTTCTCGTGAATATCAAAATTGGCTTTTGACGACCACAACATTGAAATGTCCTCCAGATAAGCTAATGTCTCGTATCACAGCGAAAATTTATAATTGTACCCAGGATTCGGTGTTTCTCAATTTTTTAACAATTAGTTTGTACGGCAGGAATAGTAATGATTTAATCTTTGTTTTCCTGAAATTAAGATGCGATAAAGAATTGTCCTAAGTCTTGCAGTGCCAGATCTCTGACTTCAGAAGTTATGGTCTAAATTTCAAGTCCCGTGACATTTTGCTCCGGGGTAAATATGAAGATTTCATAATCTGTTCTTTTGTGAAAAGCGGAACTTCTTTATTTAGTCGGTGTCTTTAGAGACTGGATGTTCACTCCCGGGTTACTCGTTACGCCGGCCGACCACAGAGATGTTGTATTAGCTGTAATATATCCAGCGTGTTACTGCTGTACAGAGCTACCTAGCACTACAGAAAGTTTATGGGTTTGGTGCAAAACCGAGATTAAGCTTTTTCTCGGACAGTTGAATATTGTTAGGCGACTGACGGGGCCCGAACAAGAACTCGGTTTCCGATTTTTCCAAAAAAAAAAAAAAAAACCGCGCAAATTGAAAGCGGCATGCGACGTGGTGTCGATAACAGCTAGCTAGCTTATAAAACCACATGACTTTGAGTCGGTGGTGCCTCAGTGTCTTTGCATAATTCCAACCATTTTTCTAGGATTTATTATTTTTTTTATCATTACATTTCAACGCATTATTAATACAGCTCACTAAAAAGAATTAAAACCGCCCCTTTTTCTCTCTGAAGTTATGAGATTGCTTTCCGAGCCTAATTTGTTTTTTGATTTACGGCACGCGGAAAATGGCTAATAATAAATTAAATGGACGGAACAGTACTTAAGGATGGAAAATGCGACAGACAGCTCTGATGGCTAAACAGACAGAGGCCGAGATCAAATCGTATTTGATAAAATCATTGAACGTTTTGACTTAAGTTCAATGAATTTTTCATTCATTCATCCAAGATTCCGTTTTGTCTAGACGGCAAATCAAAACATTTTAAACTACAGCTCACGAGAAATTTATTAATCCCTAAACCTCCCCTTGTCTTAGGCTTAGGATTAATTTTAGTCTTCAGGATCATTGTAAGACGTTGAGACTTATGAAAATTATCGATTTCAAAACTTGTCAAACTAAGATTTTAAGCTGGAATGTTCGCGTGACCATATCATAAACACGGTTTTGTTTAATTTCTGCAGATGTTGTAAGAGTGTCAATTAAATTCACATCGCGTTCTTTGTTGACACCTTCCTTATCCAAACAATTTGAACCTCACGACATGTGTCAAAAGAGCATGCGTGGTATCAGAGCTTCTCTCAGGCGTTCAGTAAATTGGGGCACAGCGCGTAAAAATGGCCGAGCGAAATCAAGGAGAGAGAGGCTTGGTTCGAAGGGCACCTTACCGCGCCGCACTTCTCCCCTATTTTTTTACGCGCCATTTTTCGCGCTGCGCTCCAACTGAACTCCTGGAAGAGTCTAACGCGGTATCAGTGAATTATTCCAAAATGAAGACCGGGTCCTTCGTGGTTCACTTTCGATTCGTATCAATCTTCCCCGTTTTGCTACCTTAGTAAGTTATATATTAGAAACACCCTGAAAGTGCACGCTGAACGGCGTTACCTTCTCTAACTCGATAGTGAGACACAAAATTAGTACAAGCAGTTGACTTAATGATGGCGCGAGCAAAGAGAATTTACGTTTTGATAATCGAGTTATAACGAGTTACTTTCTTTTCCTTCCGGTTTTTTCTTTTTCAAAGAGAAATAGAAACCATTTTCTCCATGTTGCTATCGAGTAATAGAAACTCTCTTTACACTAAGTTTGGGAAAACTCGAAAAAGATGTGGAAGCATTTGCCTGTGGCTTACTTGTGATTGCACAGGAGATTTTTCTTTCTCCCAACTTCCACTGTGTTTCTGCAACTTCACTGCGGTTACTCGATACTGAGACACGGAGAATGTTTTCTATTTCATAATCACTTTCACAGGAACCATGATATGATGGCAGCTTAATAATATGAATGTAAACTGACTATGTACTGTGGACATGCTGTTTATAATGTGTCTCTGGGAAAAACATGGTAGCTAAGCACTATGGGTGATGTAGGCAGCTGTCGTACGTAAAAATCGAACTTTAGATGCATGCATGCCTGTCTCCGTTTTGATAGTTTAAGAAGAATGTATATCTTGATCAGCGCTGTTAGGGAAGAGTGAATTAATTGCTTGAAGAGGCTGATCTGCCTTGTGTTTGCCTTAAGGGCAGAAAGAAACTTCATTTATCACCAGCTAGAACTTCCCCCTTACTTGTTTTCCTTCCCCAGATTGCAACTTATTGCGTCACACTTAAGTACAAGTTTAATTGCCATAGTAACTTGGTTGTAAAGCGCCTTTAATAATTTGATATCTGGGTTTATTTTTCGTAGATAGTCAAAATAGGGCACTTGCAAACGTGACAAAAACATAAGCAGCTGAAGTTTTTGTTGTTTTGAACGGAGTTAGTACTCACCGTTATGAGGTATTTTGGTCGCTGTAGTCTTGCTTTGCATGAAGGCGTAAAAATTAGAATAAATAACTGTCCCATAAATTTACCATAAATTAAAACAGGTTTTCCATTTAAATGGCTCTCTAAAATTATAGTAGGCTTGATGTGGCCGCTAAAATTAAGCCCCTTAACGCAGTTTTAAGTTACAAAAGGATCGCAAAAGATGTAGGGAATACTGTAACTTGTATTGTGTTCTTTGAATTTGTGTTTCTACAACATCCACTCATATCAAAACGTTTATGTGGATCTGGGATGCATGTTGTGCTGAAAAGAAAACAATCCATGGAAAAAAAAACCAATGTTATTCAAAAGTTTTGCCATCTGTGGGTGGTATAGTAGAGCTACGAAATATTTTCCTTTAGCATGACACCTCCCTGTGACAAATTATTTATGGACTGGCATTTAAATGATCGAAATTAGCTTCATGTTGAAGTAGCGGCGTTTTAAGAACGCCAACAAGGTT